TGTAATTTAAATTTTGATTGAAAATGTACCGAAAACCACTACTGCCATCTGTATGACTACTTTAAGTGAAAGCGAATTTTAAGATAAAAGTAATGGATTTAATAGATAAAACAAATTGAATTTTCTTTGTGGTCTTGAGTCAGTATCATGAGGTTTGAGTGTGCTCTTGTGGCCTCTGGTGTTGCAGCTACAGATTTTCATTCCCAGCGCTCACTTTATTATCCATTCATCTGTTCTCAACTGCTTATCCACCTCAGGGTCATAGGGGCTTTAAAGAATCAGTTAATCTAAACCACAGGTGTCGAACTCCAGGCCTCCAGGGCCGCTGTCCTGCTTGTTTTCCAACTAATCTACCCTTGTAGCTTCTTATTGGCAAAGCACACCTGATCCAGGTAATCAGCAGCAGGTAGGGCAGGGATATCTCAAAAACAAGCAGGATGCTGACCCTCGAGGACTGGAGTTTGACACCCCTGATCTAAACTGAAAAAAAAAATGCATATCTATTATCCTATTTTTTATTTATCAATTTTTCAGTCTATAGAGTGCATTAATGGCTCTAGTTGTATTGAGACTTTTTTTCATGTTTTACATGAAGACAAGAAACATTATACCATTGAACCTACCACCCAGCTATAAATACAAAATAACAAAACATAGAGAAGGCCAAAAACAAGTTTAATCAAGATCATCACTGCGTGTCGACCCATGAACAGTTTTTTCAGGCACATCAAAACAAATGCAAAATGACTTAATTGAAACTACTGCAGATGTTCTGAAGGAGAACATAAAAGCGGAAGTGAGTTTAGCTCAAGTTATGGCAGTGGAGGTTGATGAAACAACAGACATTGCAAACAAGGCTCAACTTTCCATCATTCTTCGTTACCTATCTGGTAAATTGGAGAAGGAGGCTTATCTCAGCTTTGAATGATGAGATCAGTGAAGACAGAAGAGCAATTACTAATTACGCATTATGTATACTAGAGACATTCAACTGTGCATACAACCTGATTCCACAAAGATATAATAGCATATTTGTTATAACATCCAACCTATATGGTGGTAAAAAAAAAATAAAAAAATAGAAAGAGTATTAACTCACAGGTATGGACATAAGCTGAACCTTGTTCTGACATAGTCTGCAAAGATTATACCAGAGTGTAAATCTTTTTGAAGACTCTGAAGGATTTTGCAGCATTTTTGAACAAGTCTACAAAATGTACCAATTTCCTTTACGGAGTAGTGAAATATATTTCATCCGTTGCAGCTCGAAAATGGAACTTAAACTTAAGGCTTGTTCAGACTATCGTAATGTATCATACAGAGGTATTTAATGTTAATGAAGAAAGCCCAGATGAGAAGGATGGAGAGACACCAACACCATCATGTCTAATGTGGCTCCATCAAGACCATCAAGATCATTTTCTCTTGAGAAATATAAACTTGTGTGTTGAGTAGAAGAGTTGTGTCTGACTGCAGCTATATTTAGCTGAGTGAAGTCACCCACGGGTGGTGGAGGGTGACACTGTCAGACACTTGAGTTGTTATTGATGTGCCTGACACCAAGTTATTTTAGTATATGCTAATCATGATGTTTCAGTTCCTTAACAATAGTGAACTTTTTGTTCACTTTTTTGTACTTGATAGAATTTAGATTCTTCCCCACATTTTATCTGTAGTCTTAGTAACTGTTTAAGTTCTTCATTTTAATTGTGTTTTCTGATCTCCTCTGTGTTGCAGTGGTACAGAGTCATAAAGGCTACACTTCTACTCAGATGTGATTTACTAAAGGAAAACATTATGCATCTGTGGATCTGAAAATAGCCTGACTGCACAGATCACGATGTCTACCATTTTACTCAATAAGGCTTCATTTTGACAATGAGTAACCTGAGAGAGTTCATATTCATAGAAAATCACAAATGCATCTCAAATAATTCTTACATTTTAAATACAATCTGTGTGTTTATGTAAGAGGATAAATTGCAATCTCAGGTTTTTCGTGTTTTCAGATCTCAAGGTGCATATGATAACATCAGCGGGCTAACAGTATGATACCCAGGTACAGCTGAAATGTCAGGCTGTCTGCCTGATTGCCTTTTCTATGTCTGGATCAGGAATGGGCAGGTCATTTCCATATAATAAATGTCTTCTCTTTCACGTAGACATCCTTTTCTGTTTTTAAAAGGATACAACAATATTCTCAGTGTGTGGAATGTGATGTACTGCAACATATATGTGTGCCTCCAGCACTCAAAGCTGTTTGTCCTCATTATCATGCCCCTGCTGCCAGTCCCCTATGAGGCCTTCCTCAAACTGCAGCCTCAATTCATGCTTACTGCATCGACCAATGTCTACTAGAAGTGCTTTCAAATCTAAATGAGGATGTGGTCCTAGCTAGTGAACCACATGTTCTTCGAGGGGTCTTGTGGATTTAAATTACTGGTGATTGAAAAAGAGGAAGTTATATTCATGAATCGCTCTGAGAAATGCATAGATGTTAAGATGACAAAACCCATCTCATCATTACTCTGGTAAAATCAAGGCTGTAGAAAATCCATATTTCAAACATATTTGTTTTATTTTCCCTTTTTTTGCAAGTTTAATATTATTTTACAAAGAATATACACTCATATACACAGAAACAATAAAACACAAGCATTCAGTGTGAAGTCTAAAAGAAAATAAGTGAAAGACATTTAGATAGAATGCATAAATTAAATATAATATGTTCAGGTTTCCACATTGACTCTGATTTGTGACAGTGATGCTAACCCACCAGCTAACTCATTACACCTGGTACAAGGAGAATGAGGACTCAGCAACAGCATCAGGACAGAACTTTACCATCACTGACTTCAGACCTGAACACAGTGAGAGTTATTACTTTGCTGTCCCGAGCATCAGAGGATGTAACACTGGCTGGTGATCAGTTACATTCAGCTGATGTGATTGAGGCTGTGATTCACTAATAGTGAAGAGATTATGTGGCCGAGCTCCTAAAACCTACTATACCTATATGCAAAGGGGTCTCTCCTCAGTTTCTTAAAATTGCCTTGGCTTGCAGTGGCTTGACCATTGCTGTCAGGAAGAGTTTGCCCAGTGTCCTGCAGGTTTAGAGCTCACACTGGGTCAACACACCTGAATCAAATGATTACTTCATTACCAGGCCTCTGGAGAACTTCAAGACATGTTCAGGAGGTAATTTAGCCATTTAAATCAGCTGTGTTAGATCAAGGATATGTAAGGTAGTGACTGGAATAAGTCACAAGGTGTCGCTGTTGAGCTGCATGTATGGTGTAAAATTTAACAATTTTGACCATTTGTCCTCTGCAGGACACCGTACTTCAGATTTCTTGTTTGCGCGGGCGCCATCTTGGTTCAGTGTTTGCTGTGATTCAAAAAGGGCCAGCAGCAGAGTTGGAGTGGTGTTTGCCCCTGCTTCCGAATAAACGGCACGGTCCGAGCCACAAATCGAGGGAATCATTTTTAACAACTTCACTTCTGTATTTTGTATATTAACTTGAGAAGATGTGAGAAGATGTGAGAAGAGTCAACCTGCATTTTTAGAATAATTCCCGCTGTCCTCAGAGCTGATAGATCTAAAGTGATAAACATCCTGTTGTCCTCCTGACACTTTTTTGTTGTTTTTGCACCAGGTGTAATTAGCTGCATCACTGCTACAGGCCAGAGTTACCGAGCTACCCTCCACTATCTCAGCAGAGGGACTCACTGACAGAGTGGCGAGCCGCGGAGCATCTATGAAACTGGAAAAAATCTAATAAAAATCACTTCCTCAAAAGCCTTGGAGCATCTGTACATGTATGGACATGCATTAAAATGATTGAAATAGTTGCAAAGGAGAACGTAATGAGTTTAAAACATAACTCTTAAAGAACTTCATTTGTGTTCTTTATATTAAGATGCCTCACTCACATTTCACATCTCTCCAGCTGACACTGGAGACTGAGCTGAGTGTGTTTGGTTTCAGGTTAGTTCTTTAGTTTCCCTCAGTTTAGGTTTGTTTGCTCCCTGCTCTGCTCTTCCTGTGTTTTTGCCTCTTTATCACTTGTTTGTTTCTTTGTTTCACTCGCACCCCAGCCAGTACCTGCATTTTGGATCCTTTTCTCAATACACAACACGACTGCTGCCCCAGCCATGACACTTTTTGGGATTTCCTTACCTGGATGATTGAGAAGTCTGATCAATATGTCAACAGAGAAATGCAGTCTAAATAGTGAATATGTCTGTTGTAATGTCAAGATTTTCTTTTGTATGTAGACATGATGGAACATGTCTGCACACACAAAAAACTGTGTCACCAATCTATTATCATCTTGACATGATTGTGAATGAGAAGAATCGTGTGTAATGGCTAAACCCAGAATTATGATTTATATGTGATTTTACCTTTAGTTAATTATGCTCAATACTGATCAGAAAAATAAGCAGTTACATATGGGTAGTCAGAGAGGATAACTCAGGGCTAAGTAAAAGCCCGTGTAGAAATGTGTGTGTGTGTGTGTGTGTGTGTGTGTGTGTGTGTGTGTGTGTGTGTGTGTGTGTGTGTGTGTGT